GTAGGTGCGTTTAATGTTATAATTGAAACTATACATGTAAAATATTTCGTATTATAATGTTGGATGTACGGGGCGGGTATTACCCATGGGTACCCGAAACCCATGGGTATGGAGATGAGTTTGCAAAACCTTCCCCGCATGGGTATGGGGCGGATATGGGTATAGATATTTGAAAGCGGGGATGGAGATGGTTTAGGCAAACCCGCCCCATTGCCATCCCTAATGAAAACGAATGACTGAAATGGAAACGAAAACACACAATATACGTGGTATTTTCGAGATTTGGAACTAGTCCACGAGAGAATATGCACTCTCCAAGTTAAGTTCCTACTCGCTCAAATCGAACATTGGCTACAAATTACAGGAGAATAGTTATACACCTTTCATGCACCCTAGCTAACCCCCACCACTGCCCTTTCTATGTGGTCCCATGTGCCAAAATACAAGACCAAATGGAAACTACATATGTGCAAAGTATGGCCTAGCTCCATACGTCAATATATTGCACAAATTGATGTCATTCACGAAGCATCAATTTGATAGACAGATATCATTGACGATTCAAAGGGAAGACTTTGGTGAACAGGTCAACCACTTGGTTTTCAAAATACAAAGTGATTGATTTTCAATAGTAAATTTTGAATTATACAGTTTTAGAAATTCCTAGATATTTAGAATTTTTATATGAATTTTACAAATATTTTACTTGTACATTAAATTGATAACATCCTTAGTTACTAATTAAATGATTAAATCACCACCTACACATATCTTATTTGGTGCCAACGCTACATATATATTTTTAAAATAAAATTTTCATAGTAATTCAGTTTGAATTGAAATAAATTATTTACACTTTGTTCCAAATGGTCTGTATGGGTATAATTTTATATAGTAAAAGAGATAATTTTTAGGTAAAATATAAAAACTAAAATAACTGAAGTAAAAGTATAAAAGTAATTGTGAAAATATCATTCAAATATTTCATTATGGTCAACAAACCATCCGAGTTGCAAGATACATTGGTTAAATTTTCATGATTATCTTATCTCACACAAATCGTTTTTCTGTAACTATTCAATATCCTTATGAAAATTAATTATAGCTGAGCGTTTTCGGGGCCGAATCCACTTTAAATTTAATAAATGTGTTGCTTCTCATTAATAAGAAAAATATATTCTTTTCATTGAAAATATGAGAAAACAAATGTTGAAAACCGGTGGAAACAACATTTTGTTGTTTCCCGGAAAAAAACTACCTCTTTCTATTTTCAAGGTTGGAAACGAACAAAAACAGAATGAAAAGTAAACAGGTTTTCTCGTTTTATTGTCGGAATTCTGGAATGGAAACAAGAAATAGAATGAAAGTTAATGGGCCCGTAGGGGTAATTTGCTTGTGGAATTTGGGTGATGGATTTGACACCCTGGTTACTACTAACTATAGTCCTAACATAAGTCAAGTGTAACCAATGAAAAAATTTCAATATAGTGGCAACAAGTAATAAATATCGAACCCATGGGCTCTAGATTTACTAATACTCAACTTCAGTTTATTATTTAGCATATTAGATTCTGGTTAAACAACTATAACTACAAAAAGACTAACCTAACTATTTACAATGTAGGAGGCTCGCTCATGTAATGATTCCCATAGCCGCTAGTCGGATTAATGATTGGTGATTCTCAAACTTATTTCACTCTTCATTCATAATGCAGAGAGACCTTAAGAGACCTCAACAAGTCTTAAATCTCGATTGAAGCCCTCAAGACCCTCTTGAGTCGGTTTCTTAAATATTTTCAACTAAAACAAGCGATCAAGGAAATCCATACTAGAATCCCTCTATTGGTTGAATTCTCATCCAACACAAAGCAATCAATCGACTCACTCTCGCACAATCAATCTCGTATTTCTAATTGATGTTGCTCTATCAACCTAATCAGATATTCTCTCTTATAGTTCAAAGCATAAATCAATAATCTGAATAAAGCATAATTGATCCATAAAACATGTATAAATTGGATATGAACTCAAGTTTAACTATTCAGAGTAATCATACAATCATTAAATTAAACAAACATCCGCAAATCCAAGTGAAGGGAAGTTACTCCATAGAGAGAAAAGAGAATACATAAACATGCTCTTGATCTTCAATCTTCACTTCCAAGCTTATTGTTCGAGCTCCATTGTGAAGTAATCCTCCAATTTTGCTCCCAAGACTCTAATACCGCTCACCCTCTCTAGGGTTCATCCATCGGGTGTTTGGGATTGAAAAACAGAAACACAGCTCCTCCCTTCAAACTCGCAGAACGCTCATTTATGCTAGCAGAGGCAAAGTCACGCCATAAATCATGGATGTGATTCTGAGGGCTCAGGCCGTGAATTTGAGAAGTGGTTATGTCCCCCTGCCTCATTCTCACAGTTTTGAAGAAGAAGTTACTCCCTGGGTCGTGATGACTTTTAATCTCAGACTGTAACTTTTGGCCCAACTCTCTTTTTTGTTCTGTTTTGACCTCCAAACATCCTGAAACTCGCTCCTAAAATTCCTTGGATTGTTAGGACCTTAAATGTGAAAAAATACAACCTAGTGTGAAATCAGCATACAACAGAGCATTTCCTACAACGAATCATTGATAAAGATTAAGGATAAAGAGTTTTCAAGACAAACATTCAAGAGACGAGGGATAACACATATATAAATGAGCACTTATCACACCCAAATCCAAAGCATCATGGATTTGAACAACTCCATTATTTCTTGGGGTAAAAATTGGAGAACAAATCCGTGAGACTCACGGATTTGAACTTTTTAGATCCAAAATTGTGGACCACACAAATTTTCAAATCTCAAATTTTATTTGAAATTTAGTTGATAGATGGAAGACAATTTTGTGGGACCCATAATACAACAAAGCTATAAATCCATGACAAAAACTCTAAACCATAATGTAACAAATTCATTATAAATTCAAGGTAAAATACACTTTCATAGTTCCATTGTCGTAACTCATAAATTTACACTTTGTGACAAATATAGCCAAACTTTGAAAAATACACAAAAATAGTTATTCCGTCCATTAATTTAACGGAAATCTAACGACGACTGATTGGACAAACGGTCGTATATGACCGCGCCTGCCTTGGTCCACGTGACATGTCAGGGTGGAATTTAAATTTAATTATATTTATTAAATAAAAAAACATTAACAACAAAGGAACTCTGGCCTCTTAGCATCATTTTTTCTTGATCCCTATTCACTAATCTCCTTCCCCTGCATCCAAGATCTCTCCTCTTCTCCTTTACCTCTCTGTGTCTACCCTTCTGCTCCCAGCAACCCACCACCCCTCTACTTTTTCTCTCTATTTGTCTTGTCTAAAAGTAGGAAAGGATAGGAGGCTAGATCCACCTAATACCTTTCCCCTTTGCCTCTTTGATGAGATTGAGATTATTAAACTGTGGGTTCTGGATTAGAGCATATGCCGTCGCCGGCGGGGTCTTGTTTTGAAATGGCTAAGAACCCCTAACCCCGCTCCTCTCTCTTCCAATCGGAACCCTAATCTGTGATTTGTGAATTAAAAGGGCTTGCTTGCGGGAGTAGGACTTGACACTAGCGGCCGGAGCTAAGGAGATAGAAGCTTGCAGGAGGAAAGATGAAGATGAAAAGAATGGGTGTGTTGAGTTGTGTGGTGTCTTCAGATCTCTCTCGAACCCACGAAAGATTTTTTTTAATAGAACCAAACCGAAAAAGATGAAGAAGAAAAATATGTTAGGTTGGCATTTTTTGGAAAAAATATTTTTAAATCAATAATATAATTTAATTTGACATGGGTACACGTGGCATAATTGGCTGCTGAGAAGTGACGTGGAAGCTGAGGAGGCGCCACCTAAGCTTGTTGTTGACAGATGTTAACGGCATCTCTAACACCGTTAAAATTTCTAACAAACATGACTAAATTTGTCGAATATGTTTCAAAATCTGGCTATTTCTCTGTATTTTTCAAATTTTGACTATATTTGTAAAGTTATAACTATGACAATGTATTTTGCCTAAATTCAAAAGTATTAAAACTCAAAAGCAAGTAAGCCAACCCTTAGCTTCTATCAAATAAAAAAGACAAAACCCACTTACCATCGATCTCGTCCCTTGTCCATGGTGTGATGGAGATTGGGAAATAGTCAAATGGGTATATGCTTGGGACTCGGAGGAATTGAATGAGAGAACAAGAAAAATGGCCAATAACATATCAACTTATTTACCACGTGGAACTGCGGAAGTGGAAGACAAATTGCCTGCATGTATCTCAGTATCTTTATGTTTCGTGTTTGTTTGTTTTTGAAAGGAATTGAAAGGAGAGAAAGGAGTTGGATGTTCGGATAGAGGTGTGTTGTAAATATTGACCGCGTGTTTCATATTGGGTCGATTGATATCAATCCGATAATTATGATGCTTATAATTCATTTTTGAGAATAATTTACGGACATTTAATATCATTGAATCATATATAATTTAGTGGCCTTTTAAATAATTATCACTAACACGATTATTTGTTTTTGTTTTAATGAATTCCAACCCGATTTATAAATAAGAGTATGTTTTTATAGGTCGAGTTACATAACCCTGTTCCAAATAATGGTTCGAGCCATCCCGCAATCTTGCACATTCTCAACATTTCTATTGCGTGGCTTGTGAGAAGATATGCTAAGGATAAATTATCGGTAATTAGCTCTGTTAGTATTGTAATTATGATAGATTAATTTCTACCTTGTTTTCTGTATAAATCTCTCCTGGTTTCCTGGATACAAAAACAAGCTCAATAAGGTGCAATGCGAAAGTAAGATTTTCATCTGACCAAAGATAAAAATAAAAGTAATTAATCAATTAACTAAAAAAGAGTACGAACGGCTGGAAAGGTTTAACAATCGAGCAGCAAGATATAAATATGATCGTATATGGGATCGATATAGAGTACATATATGTTCTTTGGCTTCTGGGTATAGTTAACTAAAGCTTCCCAGTGATTTGAGCTCTCTTCATACTCCAAGCGCTTAGTTTCGATATCCTCACACTTTGAGATCCATAATTGAAAGCATACAAATAGGCGGCTCTGTGAATCGCCAACTGCGGATAAGCTCTTGCTATTATGCTAGCTTTCCCTTCTGCTGCAAAGCTTTCTACCATGGAATGGTCAATCTGCAATGACATGAAAAAATCAGCAACCATTTTTAGCAACGACTCGAACGTTATGGTGCTCAATGATCGATTTCCTCGTCAAAAACAATATTTTATGCTGAAACCGTCGGATACAACTGTATTGCTGCTTTCGAAAGAAAGTCAATTTAATTAGTTGCAAAAACTTATGTTTTTGTATTGGGCGTCGAACCAAATTATTGATGTATTGTAACATATGAATAAGTTCGAAAAATTAACTCACCAGGGTTCTCAATAAAAGCTTTTCTTGAGCTGGGTCCACATCGACAAAAGTCCCGTAATTTGATTTATCGACATCGTTATCTAGAGAAGACCTGAAAAGAAACAAAAATGGAACTCATTATCTTATATACCACCATAAATATTGATACACTACTGCAAGAAATTGTAGTTTTCCCGACCGGAGAAAGGGTGGGGGAGTCGTTCAAAATGTTTGCCTAATTGTTCGGGCATCCATCTTGCTAATTTTGCCCACCCCTTCTTTTTGGTTACAAAAAGTTTTTTATTTTATTTTTATGTAGTGCGATTTATAACCTGCTTTGGTCACTGCACATGAGAACCATATTCTGGTTCGTTTGGACGTTCTTGAAGATCCTGAAGAACACTGAAGTGTACTCTTCCAACCCTTTTGAAGCCAAAACCTTCAATCCAAATGGGCCTAAACTCCCTCTGACGGATGTACCCTTTTCTTGACAAATCATCTGTGGTTTGCTTATCCAACTTGGGTCTATAATCTCTGCTTTGCTCAAGTCCAACCCGTCAAATGTGATCTCTACATCCGCCTACATTAGCGACGAACAGGAGGGGAGAAATCAGTATTAGCGACCAACTGCTTACAACCATTGGTTCCCTGAATTTGCAACCAATTGAAGTTTCGTGGCTAAAGATAATATACCTGAGCCGCTGTGACATTGTTGATTTGAATTAACGATGTTGGTTGGAGAACATGGTTTGTCAAGGTCACAGGATCTCTACGTAGCTTCTTGATTTCTTGGACTGGACAGATGTGGAGTTGCTTTCCTGATTTATCTAACCATACTCTTCTTGGAAGTGCCTGCATTGATACAATTAAACATATTACTCACTCATTATAACTATTAAGTAATCAAAATAATGAACAAAAGAAAATTTAAGTTCCAAAAACATATTACCATAACTCCAGACCAGCCCTTCTTGACATCGTCATCCACGCTCGAAGACTCGTTAACCCAACCCCACAACACCCTACGGTTCTTCTCCCCATCATAGAACGATTTCGATGCGTAGAACTTACCATAATCGTACCTGAGCCCCGAAAATCCGTTCTCGACCGACCCATTGTTCGGTGTGTAGGTATCCGTATGGTAGCTGTAGCTTCCGACCGTGTAGTAATCGTGTTTAATATCGTCCAAGCTCACTTTCAGCACGTATTTTACGTTCAAATCGTGGCTGCTCTTCGAAGTGTCCACGCTGTCTCGACTTCCAACAGAGACCGGATAGAAAGCAGGGCACTCCCACATTCCATTTCCCTGAGCTGAATGCAATGGCTTCTTGACTTTGGTCCAGTGCACGAAATCTCTGCTCTTGTACATGATCGCCACACCTCGTCTTCGAATTTTGCTTCCGACAACTACCCTCCATACGTTATCGGGGCCGACCCATCCGGTCGAAGGGTCTCTGAACGAGCTGGAATTGATTTGGTTCTGGATAGTGGGTGCCATGATTGGTTTTTGGAGCGGTTTGGTCCACTCGATCAGATACGGGTCGGATAGGTTTTTGGGAAAGGCTATGTTCTGGACTTGTTGGTTCTGTGAGTTGACCCCTGTGTACAAAATGACCGGCTTCCCATCCTGGAGTATCGTGGCCGAACCAGACCAAGCACCACTTACGTCCAAATTCGGTTCGATTGGGGAGATTGCAACCGGTTGGTGTTCCCAGTTGACCAGATCTGAAGATGTTGCGTGTGCCCACACAATGTTGCCCCAAACTGCACCCTTGGGATTGTATTGGTAGAAGAGATGGTAAATTCCTTTGTACACCATTGGTCCTACAAATATTAGACGTACGTGTATCATAGTTACCATAATGAGAAAAACAGAGGTATTTTAAACTTGGTATTTTAGAATAAATAGTATCTGCTTTTTTATGGAACTCACCATTAGGATCTTCGAGTTCGAAAGTGAAATTTGCCATTGAACCATCGATATCGAAACGATAAAAGCAAAAGAAAACAAAAATTGTCAATACATGATATAATGTCGATAAAGAAAGGAAAGCTAATGAGCACAATAATACAATAAATACCGAAAAGGGATGATTATAAATTAGACAAGGGATGATTATAAATTAGACAAATCGAATTTAGTGTTAGCAATATATCATAATAAGAACATACCATTGATCCAATTGCGAGGAGGCTGGAAGTGAAAGGCAGTCCTATAGGGTTGGTTTTTGGGAAGAGTAGTCTCGAGACTTTGATAGCCTTTGTAAACTGGGTGTGAAGCCTTGATCAACTCAACATCACAAAGAACGATAAAGATAACAAGTAATAGTAAGAATTGCTTCAAATAAGTCGCAACCATGGCTATGGCTATGGCTGCCTGTTCACTAATTGTCTTGCCTTACAAAATATATTATATATATTTTGTAAAACAAGACAATTAGTGAAGTGATGAGATTGTGAAATGGAGAGTTGAGATATTTATAGGGACATACAAAGAAAGCGATATGTAGGAAATTAGAGGGGGCAAGCTGCCGAATTCAAGGAATTTTCTCAAATACAAAATATAGAATTTCTGTTATTAGGACTACATTTAGAATACAGTTGTGCTTTATTTGTTTAGTAGGACATTATATGTCCAAGTAAAAGCATCTCCCAAGTGTGTCACGGCCGTACAATCTAAACTGGTTTCCATTACCTTGAGATAACCGGCTTGGTTTTTCAGTGAGTTGCAATTAGGGCTGTCCATTTGTTTTTGGTTTTTTGGTTTTAAGCGAAACCAAATCAATTGGAAAGCTAATGGTTTCAGTTTTATTTTTGTTTTAAACCAATAAGCAAATTTAATGGTTTTGGTTTGGTTAAAACCGAAAAACCAATAGAAACCATTATGAAACCAATAAGAATAAAATTATTTATCAATAATTTTTTTTGTTTCTTTTGAGATGCATACCAACCAATAATTTGCAATCGTCATATACCATTATTATGACGTTAATTCAATAAAAAGGAGAGAAATGGGAATAAATATGAGTGTATGAGTACATGTTGGTTTTTTGGTTATCCAAACCAAAACCAAAACCATTAAGGCTCTTATTGGTTTTGGTTTTTGGGATTTGGTTTTTGGTTTTTCATACTTAATGGTTTGGTTAACCAAACCAAACCAAATTGACAGCCCTAGTTGCAATGAGTGATGACGACTACTAATCATCCCATCACACGTCGTTTTGTAGGTTGGTTGGTTACAACACTTTTTATCAGATACGTGCTTGAAAATCAACCTCTAAATTTGATCGATCAATACTATGATCGCGTTGTGCTTTAGTTCGGAATCGCGTACAACGTATGTATCAGTACTTCTTACCTCAAAAAACAAAACGAATCACTTTCTTCATCCAACTTCATGCACATCTATCCAAAATAAACACTTGCAAACTCAATCCTTCTCTAATGATTACAGATCTGATCATCCTCCTCACTTCCATCTAATGAACCTCCCTATTATTAGTAAAACTAATCAAACAATGATTAATCAACCAATTTGAGCTTTCTTCATGCTCCAAGCACTGAGTCTCGAGACCTTAACACTTTGAGTTCCATTGTTGAAGGCATACAAGTGAGCTGCCCCATCTACCGCCAAAAGTGGGTACACTCTTGCTGTAATGACGCTCTTCCCATGTGCACCAAAGCTCTCCACTATCGAGTGATCAATCTGTGCATAATCCAATTCAAATTAGTCTACAAATGGAAACTTTCTAGCTCTTAGACATGTGGTGTCCAAATTAGAAAGAAAAACATATTCAGAGACCAGTAGTACTTACCAAGGTTCTTAAGGAGAGATTCTCATGAGCAGGGTTTACGTCCACAAAAGTCCCGTAAGATGCTTTATCGTTCTCGTTGTTTCGAGATGACCTACAAAATCCATATGTTTTAGAAACCAGAAAGATATGGATATACAACCCAAAACATCTAACTTGACCAATTCATGTAATGTTATTAGGTACAGTTCAGAATCAAATAACTTACTTGCTTTGGTCACTGCACATGAGCACCACAGGTTTGTCGTCGTGACCTTTGAAAACCCTAAAGAAAACCGCCGTGTGTTCTTGCATGCACTTCGAGCCCAAAGCCAGCAAACCAAATGGGCCCAAAGCCCCTCTCACCGATGCACCTCTTCTGGTGCAGAGGGCCTGTGGGTCGGTCCAGCTTGGGTCCAACTTTTCTGCCTTGCTCAAGTCCAGTTTCCCAAACGAGATCTCCACATCCGCCTGTTCTGCTGTCACGCCCGTCACTTCATGTACCGAACCAGATTTCAGCTCTTGGCATGGCACATTCACACCTCTCACTCTAAGCTTCTCTACTTCCTCGATCGGCCATTGAACTAATTGCTTCCCCGATTTGTCCAGCCATATCTTCCTGGGGATTGTCTACATATAAAAAAACCATAATAAGGAACATTAATCGCCAAAGTAATACTACTCGTACGACACATATTCAAGTAGACACTTACATGCACCCCAGCCCATCCCTTCGCAATATCATCATCCACAGGGGAGGACTCGTTGACCCAACCCAGCAGGATGCGACGATTCTTCCCCCAGTCGAAGAACGTCTTTGACGCGTAGTACTTCCCATAATCGTACCGCAACCCTAGATCCTGGTCAGCCAGCCCGTCGTGGTCCGGTTTATAGACATCCGCGAATGGGTCATACTTCCCAATCGTGTAGTGGTCGTGTTTCGTGTCGTCTAGACTCACCTTCAACACATGCTTCACGTTCGGGCCCAGCACAGAGGTGTCCAGCCCGACTTCAGAACCACCCGAGACATCGAGGACCGGGTAGAAATCGGGACACTCCCACATTCCGGTCCCTTCCGTGGAGTGAAGAGGGCGGTCGGCCTCCATCCAGTTGATGAAGTCCTTGCTCCGGTACAAGATGGCCATCCCTTTCTCGTTGTGCTTGCTGCCGACGACCAACCGCCACGTGGAGTCCGGTCCAAGCCACGCCGTGGTCGGGTCACGAAACGACGACGCGTTGATGCGGTTCTGTTGAGTTGGTTCCATTAAGGGGTTCTCGTGTTTTTTCACCCATTTGTTGAGGTACGGGTCGAGTGGGTTTTCGGGCACGACCATGTTCTGGACCTGGTTTTGGTCCGGGTCGATTCCGGTGTAGAGGATGGCCGGGACGCCGTCGTGGAGGAATGTGGCCGAACCGGACCAGGTTCCGTTGATGTCTGAACGTTGAGATGGGTAGACGCCGTAGCCACGTGGCGACCAGTTGATCATGTCGGTGGAGGTTGAGTGGGCCCATACGATGTTCCCCCACTTGGCTCCTTTGGGGTTGTATTGGTAGAACAAGTGGTACACTCCTTTGTAAAGCATAGGTGCTGAAAATGATCAATTATGAAAAAACAGCAATATTTAGTGTTCAATGAAGTCTGTATGTTTTTTTGCTAGGGTTAGTAATTCAATTCATATATGAGAAAGGAAAGACTCTCACCGTTTGGATCTGTGAGCAAATTCCATTTCGATTCCCCGTATCGATCAACAACAAACATCATATGTCAAAAAAATTCGAAAGAGAGATCAGAAACACAAAAACACGACTACGACTAAAGAAAAGAAGAATAACGAGTTGTGAGAGTTCATCATCGTCACGATTCGAATGCAAGATCTGAGCGCTTTGTTGCGCTAATATGATATCGTTAGGTCAGAAGAAGAAGAAGGATAGTGATTGAATTACCATTGATCCAATGCTTGGCAGGCTGGAAATGGTATCCAGTTCTGTAAGGCTGGTGTGTGGGATAGGAAGTTTTGGAGACATGGTGAAAGCTCGAAACATAGTGTGAAGCTTGGACCTCGAAAACTCCATGGCAAAGGAAGGAAGCAAAGAAGAATGAGAAGAGGAGGAGATGATGATGGTCGGCCATGGTTGAGTAGTGGTGTTGGCTAGGGTAAGAAATTGAGTGATGATGAAGAGGATGAAACGGTGTATATATAGGAGGGCTAATAATTGCATAAGATTAAGATGCGGCGGATGATGATGAGGATTAAGCAAAATTCTCTGCTTCCCACGAGAGATTTTAGGATTAAGAGTTAAGACTGTTGATATATTCAATTATATATGGTATATTTGGATTTTCCCTCATTTTTGGGTGTTTTCTGTTTTGATGGATGGAATTGGTTAACAGATAGAAAAGTTTTTATTTTTATTTTTAGATAAATGGGATAATTTTTTTGATATTTCATCTAATAGTTGGCAACTTGGCACATGCATAACAATAAATATCTTGGGGTTGATCTTTTTGACTAGCTAATGGGCAGATTCAAGCGAGCAAACAGAAAATCAAAAATAAAACTTATGTGTCAATTAGGAATTTCCTAAACCACTTTGGCTGCTTTCCTCCTCCTGACTTCTTGTCTTTGCTCGTTCCTTTCTCATTCCCTTCCGTGGTTTCTGTCTTTGCTCTCTGTTCAGGTTTTGGAATGACCTGTTTTAAGTAGCAAGGAGGCTGCTTTAGCTCTTTTTCCAGTTAGTATTCTCTCCATTCCCTCCGTCTACCTCCTTTTGTTTCACCCAGTATATTACTGTGATTCAGAGATGCTTTAACCCATCATGGTCATGCATGAGTCTATGTTATATTACTATCATGGTTCTAAAAACCACACCTAGACACTCTCTTAATCTCGTCTAGGCCCAAGTCAGAAGGTAAACACCTCGCCTTGGGAAAAAAGTAGCAGAGAAAGCGCTTTCACGATCATTTTGTGACTTCGGTGGTGCCTAGTCAGCATTGAGTTGTGCTTCAAAATGATGTCATTATGTCTTTTTCTACGTTTTGATATGCTACTAGTAGGGCTGGCAATTTGGTCCAGAACTGTTTGGTTTTACCCGAAACCGGATCGTATAACCCGAACCGGGACCGGACTGGGACCGGATAGCAAACAATCCAATCTCATATTCGGGCTTAGATTTGAGGTAAAAAAACCCGGATAAAGACCGGATAAGAGACCCCAACACTCAAATCCCCACAAACTCAATCTAAAATCAAAATCAAATTGGGACCGGACCGGGTCAAGACCGGACCGGAGTGTATCCAATCCAATCTTTGGTCCTTATATTCCCGAAAAGACCGGACTGGGACCGGATCAATTTGGTCCAATTTAACCGGACCGGACCGTATAGCCACCCATAGCTACTAGGGAGGACGATCTTGATTTCTCTATAGTTAGGCTAGGATATAGTTAGATACGACATTTTAAGAGTAGCTTCTTCTTCTTCTTTTTTTTTGCGCTTCTTCGCTTTCAATGTGCTTCTCTATTTTCCAGCTTCTTCTTTCTTACTCATTTCTCCATACTTTGTTTTATGTTCTATCATCTGTTGTTGATGAAAGTTTAGAAATGAGAGGTAGATGCAATGATATTGGTTCATAAACTTGTGATTCTAAACAAGTATGAGATATTTTGCTATATTTACATCGAACCCTTAGCCACGCCTAGGTAACGCCTAAGCATGCTAGAAGCAAGGCAGAGCCTCAACGCTCGCCTTACGTCCAGTGCTTTCTTGAACCTTGATCACTATATCAGATAATGCTATCAATTTAAATTCAAAATTCAATGCCTAATATTAATTTTAGAATTGAGTATAATATACACTCATTTCTATAGGCCACCATAATTTTATTACTGAATTAATCTATCAAAACAAGCTCTAATTATGAAGTTGATACCATTAGACAGGCTTCGTAGCATGGTCCATGAAATCGTACCGTACCGACAGTTCAACCACAAAATATCAGTATTGGAAGCTAAATCGGTATACGATATTTAACGGTACTAACGATTGAACTATGGTTAAACCACGATTTTGCCATAAAATATCATATCGCTGACTTTTCCAATATCATCTCTCGTACGATTTTATGGACCACGCTTCATAGTCTGTCGTCTGAATCCCAAGGTTTGTAAAAGGGATACGGTTAAACACTTCAGAATGTAAGCCATATGACTAGGCTTCTTAACTTATATAATGGCCGTTGTGGAGAAAGATTTTGCCACGTAGGACAAAGAAAGCTCCACAATTTTCCATGTCATTTATGATTATAACATTTTAAGTTATTAATTATATTAAAATAAAACTAAATAAACATGTATATCAATAATCATGACCTAGATTTGAACCTATGAAATCAAACTATCATCATTTCAAGTGTTCAACCACTAGGATAAAGTATATTTGATGCTATTAATCACAACAAAACATGTATATCAATCACTAGAACTAATATTAAATCATGCAACCTAAAAGCTCAAACTGTAATAATTTAAATTAGTTAATCAATAGAATAAAATCTCTTTGATGCAAGTAATCACAAGATTAACACTCATGTTATAAAAAATGTATAACACATAACATTCTATTTTTATTTAATGGTTGACTTCTGTATATTACACACAAAACTATCACGGTTAAAATTTTGTATTCTATTTTTCAGCAATGTTAGAAACCATTAACAACTACAAATAACCAATTTTAATTTTTAGTTTATGATATGTCTTATATTTTTTAAAATAATTAAAAAAATCCAAAAAAGATGATTTAGTTGGTACACATTTATTAACTCTTTCATAATTTGAAATGTGATTTTCTTACTACTCCAATTGCTTAAATTTATAAACAATTTCTATTTTTTCTATTTTCATTTTTATGCGTGATTATATTTTCTTCCATGCGCAATTATAAAATACATTGGCTTTAATTTTTTCCTGATGTACTTATAATTTTTTTTTCTCTTTTTATTGGTTGACATAAGCCCCTTTTCATTTTCCTACATGAGTGTATATGTGCAACTTTGAGATATGTTTAGATGCATAGCACCTAAATTAAGCAAGATTTCTGAACGAATCTTAAGCTATTGGATATATATAATGATTGAGATGTAAGGAACTATTTTAAGTCTTACTTAATGTGACACCCTAATACATATTTACTATTGGTGGCTTACATCGTACCTTGGTTATAATCTAGAACATACCCTGAGTAAGAAAACGCTAGTAAACCTGGAATTAATCGGATTTTTGGGCATGATACTATACTCTAACCCTTGATGAGTGAACCCTAGGTCTTAGATACCTAAATCATATAGGCTAACCCCTAAGATTGTGCACGTAATTTTTTGCATATATTTTGACGAATCATGATCGTCGGTTTTTGTTTGTAATAAAGTTGATCTTAGTGTATGAGATTTATAGAATCAAGACCTAGATTTTAGTCTCTCACGGTTTGGGAATAGAATCTGATGCCAAACTTTGGTCAATTTAAGGTCTAGATATAATCTTCTTACTACTCAAGGTATGTCATACCTTTAATTTTACCCAAGGTACGATAGAACCTAGGGGTGGGCATTCGGTCGGTTCGGTTCAAACCGAACTGAAATTATGCATACCGGGTCCCCGAATTCTATCAAACCTCAAACCGAATTCGAACCGAATTATAATTCGGTTTGGTTGGTTCAAACCGAATTATAATTCGATTTGGTTCGGTTTTTTATACAAAACCGAAATAGTGAGGTTAGCTTGTATTTTCTCTTTTTTAAATTATTTTTCACGCTAATGTAAACAATAAATATGTATCATCAATGATAAAATCAAACATTTCAACACATAAGTCATATGATTCAAATATTTAAGTCTCATAATAAGTAGAAACATAAAAATCCACCATTTAGAGCTTGCAATTATAATAATTCGGTTTTTCGGTTCGGAATTCGGAAATTCGGTTCGGTCGAAAGGACATTGGTTTCCGAAATATGCCCTTTTCTCTTCCGAATTCCGAACCGAATAACATTAATTCAGTTTCGGTTCGATTTATATTCGGTTCGGTTTGGTTAGGTTCGGTTTTACCGAACCGTATGCCCACCCCTAATAGAACCACCCATTACTATTACTATTTTTAGTAACCTGTTATACTCGCTGGATAATCCCACTCATAAGATATACCCGATATGTTGTATCTCATTCAGTCAAATAAACATCCATTCATCACCACATGCCATACACATGCACCATCTCAAACTCAAGGAATTCATATATTCACAATATAATGACCATCAAACAGTCTCTTGATAACTCATTGTATAAATATGTATTCACCAAGTATCACATCATACTGGCATCACCATGTAACCCTGTCCCAACATAGCAAAACATCACACCATCTAATGGTAAATCATTGTATAAAACACCATAGAAAACCATTACATAACCATCATCATCGACATGCACATTTCGTATATCACATCATAGAAAGTTATCACTTAACCACATCATAGTAATCTTTATACAAGGATTCAATCACATGCATGGTTAGGTTGATTCAGTGCCCATTTACTTCTTAATTTGCCAAGTCATACACTCCTCGGATAGTACAGTAGATGTCATGTATACCACATCGGATCGTACCTATATTGGTGTCATGTAAATCCACTGTGGGATCATACCCTGACCGATGTCCTATATAACAGCAGGAGACATACCCGGACCGATGTCCTGTAAAACCAACGCGGAGCATACCTTCACCGATGTCATGTAAATTCATCTATTGTAGTGATTGCACAACAAAGCGTCTTTATATTTGTATTAAGTTATCAAACAATTCTCGTTACAGTTAGTCACACATTTGATATTGGATGATAATGTGAAGAGAAGCCAAAGTGTCTCTATAACTAACATTTTGTTTTGATATCATTCATAAAATGTGAAGGTAATATAGAAGCCTATCATCATAGTTTGGTTGTACTTTAATATAATGGTGGAAAAGGCTAGCGAACACTCAAGGTGTAATATACACCTTCATTCACATCTATTAGTTGTACTTTAATATATTTTGTCAAATAAGAATCGTTGGTTATAATTTTTGCATTAAATGAATCGT